ATCGCACGGGCCCGCCTGGTGCGTTTCAGCCTGGGTTGCAATTTGCATATAGGCAAAAACGCATAAAAACTAGTAATCATGCACCTGGATGTTCTTGCGGTTTTACAATGCACCAGCTTCATCCCAAACCGATGCCCTTTCTCCCGCATACCGGAAAGGGCCAAAGCACGACCAGTATGCGCCCAAATGTTAGGTTACAACGCATCATTCTTGCTATTAGCGACCTGTGAGTTTAGTGCAAAAATGCATGATCGCACCGGCAGGCTTGGTGCGTTCCAGCCTAGGTTAAAATTATCGCTCATGTGTGCTTCAGGTTCAAAGACACCTAAAATTGCAAAAATTTTTTGGCAAGAAAAGGATTGTGGAAATTTCACAAAGATATCCTGTGCCTCTGTGTGACCTAAAGATTTCAAATTGAGCTAAAATGCACATGCATGCTATGCATACGAATATTAAAATCTCATAACGGCTGGCAAAATGTTACCTTGAAAACTAGCTTGTATAGGTTCTTCAGATTCCCCAAGGATATTTTCTGTCTGTGTGCAAGTCCTTGAACGCGAAATGAGCATATGCGTGCACACCCTATCACACTTATGGGCACGTTAAACTATTTTTGGTGAGAAAGCAATTTTGGGAGCCAGTTGAGTTGGGGCGCTAAAATTTTCTGAGCGTACAAATAAAATTCATCAGATCATCCTTCACACAAGCCTCAATCTCCAGTATAAGCAGGTGACTCTTCCATCTGTACTTTTGTGCGTTTTTGCATACAAGCAAATACGAAAATGCATATTGGCAAGAGGCTGCCTGTGTGTGTTTGTGTCTACGCGTTCGTACTTTCTGTCACCCACTTTCAACTCGAGAACTAGAAAAGCTAGAAGGCTGAAGATTCGGGTGTGTGTACTCACTATTGGTGCGACTCTCGTTTTAACATTATCATCCGCGTACGCCTGAGTCTCACGTACGGTAGCCCAAAAAAATATACAAATTTTTTGCCGGGAAAGAGATCTTGGGTACCAGATAAGATGGAGAGTTGAAACTTTGCATGGATATTCTCTGTGCATGGATGAGCTACTTGTAGTTCTCACGTACGGGCAAACGAAAGACTTGGCGGGGAAATTGATAACTCGGTAACTAGAAAAACTGGGAGGCTGAATTTTAAGGGGATGGTCCCGTTGGCGCACAATTTAAGGGTTTCCAATTCAGCCTTTCAGGTATGCGGGGCATCGGCATATAGGCACGTGAAATTTCTGAAAAGAATTTTATAAACTCGGCAACCAGAAAAGCTAGGGGGCTGAAATTTTAAGGGATGTTCCCTGTCCACGTACAACTTAAAGATTTCAAACTTAGCTCCTGGGTACGCGTGGTACTCAAGTACGGGCATGTGAAAGTTTTGGCGGGAAAATTGCCCACTGAACAGGTAGGCCATTTTTAAGGAACGACCGCTGAATGGAAATCGCTCGTTTTCCTTTATGCGAAATTAACGATGATTTACGGTAGCGAGCGCATAGGGTAAGTGTAAAGCAACAACCGTTCATGCTGTTAACCACCTGATTACTTCAAGTTTGGCGCAAAAACGCATGATGGCGCCAGCAAGTTTGATATATTCCAGACTGGGTTATGAACGTGTCTGCTGTTTGCGTGCAAACCTGCTCTTTATGTGTCGTGCTTGAATGCATCAAATGTTGCTTCCTGCACAGTGGGCAATTTTCTCTTCTAGGACATTTGCTAAGATGTTGAATTGTTACATGGCGATTATACGCGGCTCAATTCCTCGTTCGCGCCATTTGCTCACAGATAGGCCGGACAGTTTGCGCCTAACAAATTTCAGCTAGTCAGGACAAAAAAAAAGATTTGATTTCGAGTTTTTGCATTTCATATCACACTACGCGCGCAGGCTATGCTTTCTATAACTGTGCAAATTTGCATTATCACAAATTTGCATTATCACTAATCGCATAATGCTAGCGACATTAGTTTTCATCAAGAAAGGGTGTCGCTTAAAAAGAGATTGATGCTCTCAATGAGGTTTCTTTCAAACACCAACAACTTCCGGCTGCCAGGACGCTGAAGCTGACATCGACAACTGATAAGCCACATAGCTGCACAATCAATTGTTTGAATTTCGAGAAACAATACTCCACAACCTCCAGCTGCTGGGACCCAAGCAGTTCCAATACAGCGCGAAGCGCATGGCTGCAGCGACAAGGTTGCACCAGCAAGCCTGCTGCGCGCCGTAATTGATTAACTTTTAATTTTTGATTCGAAAACGGAAACGAAAATTAACTCTGTATCTAGCGAGGATTTTGCCTTCCGGATCATGATGCAGAATATCAAAAGCATAGGTTGCATTGATCGTCTCAATGATAGCTTCATTCAGCAGTGTTTTTTCTTCATAAACTCGCGTCTGAGACCAGAATGTGTACTCGTAAAAAATTAATCTAAAATAAACGAACGGATTACAGTGCGTCCGATTATCAAATGGTTGCAGTGGCGAGCACAGAGAAGGAAGCATGAATAGGATAGGGGGGCACTGGCGCAACTGCTCTTCCATCCAGCAGCAGTATCCACCAAGCACTACATAACTGGCTCACATTTTCAGCCCAATTCCGCATACATTCAGAAATTTTTTGCAATTTGACGAGCCAAAGTAAAACGGCGAACATTTCACGCTTACTGTTGCTGACACTGAAGACGCGTAATCGTGCAGACTTACTCGAGAACACGCTTCCGCAGCAAATTTACTTGCTAAAATTAAGATAGAAAAATATTAAAACAAAGCATGATGAGTGAATGTTGAAGTATTGAAACTTTTGAAAAAAAAGGAAACGATGAGATTCCACAGCACTTCTATTTCAGGCGAGTGCCTTATTCTTTTCTTCTGCATTCATCACCACTCCAACCATCGATATTAGGTATTAAAATTCTGCAGAGGCGGATCTCAGATCATGTGTAATGGCATAAAGATAAGCCTCTACGATGCCCTGAATTCATTAAGCTGCGTAGATAAAACCGGTTGTATTGCTAAAACAACCCAGGTAGAAACGCACCAGGCTTGTCGGTGCGATCATGCGTTTTTGCACCAGGCTTGATGTACTCAGGTCATTAACTGCATGAATGGCTGTTGCTTTGCACTTATCTTTTGCGCTCATTGGTGTAAATCACCATAAATTTTGCATAAAGTAAATAAACAATTTTCATTTGACGGTAGTTCATTGAAAATAACCTAGCTGTTCAGTGAGCATTTCTCCCGCCAAAACTTTTAAGTACTCATACTTGAGAATCATTCAAAGCTGAAGGCTGAATTCCAAATATTAAAGTTGTACTTGGAAAAGGAAAATCCCCTCAAAGTTTCAGTTTGCTAGCTTTTCTGATTTCCGCGTTAGTAATTTTTCTGCCAAAACTTACACATGCCCTTACGTGAGTACCACGCATACCTGGAGGCTGAACTTGAAATCCTTAGCTAACACATGCATAGGAAATATCCCTGCAAGGTTTCAGCCCCTTACCTTGTTCGATTCCCGAAATCGCTTTCCCGCCAAAAAATTTAAATATTTTTTAAGATGTCCGTACGCGGCACCAGGCTTAGACAGGCGATGGTATTAAAACGGGAGGGTCGCGCATGATATGGCACATACTCCCAAAGTTTTAGCCTTCTAACTTTTCAAGTTCTCAAGTTGAAAGTGGGTGACAAAAAGTGCTAACACACACACACACACACACAGTCTTTTGCCAGTATGCGTTTTTGCAATTTGTATATGTGCAAAAACGCATAAAATCCCAAAATTTATAGAATTGTGGCATTTTGGGGCAACAGAAATCCATTTATCCTAAGCTGCACTACGCAAAGCAGTTTCAGAACATTACCGAGCGGTATAATACCGGCAGGTATTCGTGTGAGTAAGAAATTGAATTATAGATGTTTACTTCCGTACAAAACGACATATAAATTGCGCATACTTTCCAGAGGAAAAGTGGAAACAGTGTCCGCTTTACTGGACGATGGTGTATATAAGTGAATTACACCCACGAAGAAGTGAGCAATCACTCGATTCGTCTCCGAAAGGGTAGTACGCAATTATCGAACTAGCAGAGATTTAAATGAAGAGAACAGTTAAGGACCGAAAGATCTAGCACAGCCGCTTCCGGCAAGTGTAAGTATTCCACTAGCAGTCTTCGAAAGAGTGAAACAAAAATACTTCCAGTCAAACAATAGATCTGTTTATTGTCCAAATATTTTTTTGATGGTGAATTGGTACTGGTGCATTCTAAATAAACAAACCATGACAGAAATACCTTACTTTGGTAGACAGTGCTTCGGCATGAAAGAAAGCGCAGGATGTAAAAAAAAAAAAAAAGAATATTATTCCTCTTTTGCTCCTGCTGTCGAAATTACTGCTCCGGAAATAAAACCCCGGGCTGCACCGCACTAAGGCTGTCATGCGGTCATGCGCTTTTGCGCTAAACTTGAAACAGTCAGATCGTTGCAGCAGGAATGGTTCCTGTGCTGCATTTTAACAAGTGGGCTCGAATTCACCGTGTTTTCGCCTTTTCCTGCATACAGGGGGACGAGGCGTTCGCTGAGATGGTGGAGTTGTGTCATTAGGCCGTGTGAACCTCTAGCGTGCATGATTATCTATTTTTCATAAAGGCCCGCCGTTTTTTCGGTAAGTAGTCGTCTATCGAAAAATGCAAATCTAACAATGTACAGGATACCGGAAGAGTATTGCGAAATCCGCAAAATGCACTCGCTTTTGAGTATGCGATAAAATTGAGTATTTTTTCATGCCTACGTGAGCGGGATTTACGGTGACAGAACTTGAAAACTTTAGCTTATATGCACAGAGAATATCTCAGCAAAGTTCCAGTTTCCCACGTTTACACGAAATCGTTTCCTGCCAAAGAAATTTACATATTTTTTTGGGGCCCTTACGCGAAATCTAGGAGAGCAAGGGTGGTGATTTTACAGCAGGAGGTTGACACATAAGGTGAGAACATGCTCCCAAAATTCCAGCTTCCCAGCTTTCCCCTTTGCTGAGTTGAAAGTGAGTGAGAGAGTTCACTCACTTTTTCGAACACACACACAAAACCATTCTCAACAATATGCGTTTTCGCTCACTGTTGCAAAGCTGCAGTGCTACACAGCAAAAACGCATAAAAACTTGGAAAATTTGATCCAAATGTGCATAATAAATCAAAATCACAGCTGAGAAATAATGGAGAAGCAAAGTACAAGCGCCCAGAAAGGTCTTAGAAAAAATAGCGACACACTTGTCTTGCCAGTGCTATCACGCATTTTCGCATTAAACTTGAAGCAATCAAGTACTTAACTCTGTGTATGGTTACTGCTTTATACTGAATTTACCCATTATCACTAATTGCTGAGTAATCACTACCGTCAGTTACCGTAAATTTTGCATGAAGGAAAATGACTAATTTTCGTTGAGCAGCCTTTCATTGAAAATGGCCTAGCTGTTGTAGTTCCTGTGTTAGCATTTTCCCTTCAAAAATTTCACGCACCCGCAAGTGAGGACTAAACACAAGTAGGAACCGAATTTGGAATAATCTTTAAGTTTTGTGTGGATAAAAAACACCTCCTTAAAATTTCATCTTTACAGCTTTTCTCTTTCCTGCATTTGCAGTTTTTCTGCCAAAATGACCAGGAACAATTTCAGTGGCAAAATTTCAGTATCAAAGCTTGTCAGGTTGCCGAGTTGAAATACGTGGATAGATGCACGTACGCAAACATACATGCCACGAGTTGCTACAATATGCTTTTTTATGCGTTTTTGCTGTGCAGAACTATAGCGCTGCTACAGCGAGCAAAAACGCATATTATCGAAAGGTCGTCTGTGTGTGTATGTTCGGAAGCAGGTGAACTTTGCTGCCCACTCTTAACTCAGCAACCAGGAAAGCTGGGAGAATGAAATTTTGGGTAAATGTTCCTACCCCGTGTGTCATCCTCCCGCTTTAAAATTTTCTTTCACACGCCGCTAGGCCACACGTGCTGACCCCCCGAAAAAAATACGCACATTTCTTGGCGGAAACAATTTCGCGAACCAGGCAGGGTACAAAGCTGAACCTTTGCAGGGATATTCTCTGTGCATGTATGAGCGAAAGATTTCAAATTCAACTGCCATGGACGCTTGTGCAGCGCATACAATCACGTCAAATTTTGCATTTGGCACTATTTTAACTCGAAAACTTGCTTGGAAACAGTGGCTGAAATTTTGTCAGGGTGTTTGTTTCCCAAATAGGAAATAGTATACCTAAAATGAGTAGCGATTTTCACTTGCGCTAAGACTTAGGGTACTTCAAAGATATATGTAGCGAAGTGAATATTTCGTTTACCGAGTAAGATGCGTGGCTGAAACTTCGCCGAGATATTCTACTTTCCTGCACGATCTTAATTCTGCTTGGAATTGTAAATCCTTGCAGATAATTATGAGAAATACTCAATTTTACTGTAAATTCAGAAACGAGTGCATTTTGCAGCGAACGGCCGCTTCTTCCTCTCCTAGCATGTAAATAAACTCATTGACATATTTGGATTTTTTGACAAACGACCAGTTTAGCAACATTTCCAATTTTCAGTGAATTAGAAATTTGCATTTTTCCGAAGAGCGAATGTTTACCAGAAAAACGACCGGGTTTCGTGCAGGAAACTGATAATCATGTCCATGCGGCTCAATAATGCAGCATCTTCATCCTAACCGACGCCCTTTCTCCTGCATGCCAGAAGAGGCCAAAACACGGCGAATATGAGCCCAATTGTTAGGCTACGTAAGGATCATTCCTGCTATTAGCGATCTGCGAGCTTAGTGTAGAAATGCATGATCGCACCGGCAATCCTGATGCGTTTCAGACTGGGTTTGAATTTGGTGCTGCTATGCAGTGTACATTTTGTGGTTTTATGCGTTCTTTCATATATGCAAATTGCAAAAACGCATATTGGCAAGAGGCTGTGTGTGTATGTCTGTGTGTCTGTGTTCGCACTTTTTGCCACCCACTTTCAATACGACAACCAGAAAAACTAGAAGACTGAAGCTTTGGGAGTACGCGTCTACAACTATGAGTGACACTCTCATTTAAATATCATTGTCCTCCTATGCTTGAGCGCCGCGTACGAGCGTCTTAAAAAAATATGCAAATTTTTTGGCAGGAAAGCGACCTCGAGGACCAGACAAGGTAAGGGACTGAAACTTCGCAGGGATATTTCCTGTGCATGTGTAAGCTAAAAATTTTAATTTCAGCCTCCAGGTATGTTTAATGCTCACGTAAGAGCGTATGAAAGGCTTAACGGAAAAAATGTCAGCTCGTTGATCAGAAAAGCTGTAAGGCTGAAATTTTAGAGGGATGTTCCCTGTCCACGCGCAATTTAATGATTTCAAATTTAGCCTCCAGGTATGCACCTTACTCACGTATGGGCGCCTAGTTTTTAGTTGGAAAATTGCTCATTAAATAACAAGATTACTTTCGATGAACGACCGTTAAATGGAAACTGTTCATTTACTTTATGCAAAATTTATGGTGATTTAAGCTAATGAGCGCAAA